TAAGCTTTGTGCTTACGTCAAATAGTAATTTGGATGGTAAACAAACTTAAAAAAGGGGATGTGCTCCTATATTCGGACAGTATCTAGTGTAATAGCAGGAGCATCGATTGACACTGATCTTTCTTCTCTTGATTTGTTTTTCGTCGATCTTGTTTTCCGTACTGAGTACCGACGCCAGGGAGGCAGCTTCCACACTTGGACCCTACCCATCGACGCCGTTTTTTTTTGCGAGATAAAAAGACGAATTTTAGCTCAAATGTGAATGATTGACCATAGCAAACAATTTTGCAAAGTTTCATGCAAATCGGAGAAGGTCACATCAGATCGATTCATCATTTGGCGTGGAACTGCTGCTCTGAAAAAAAATCAATTTAGAAAATTAAAATGAGTGGTTAAATCGTTAAATCGTTAACCACTAATCAAGGTCGATACGTTGACGGATGGATTTTTTTATTATTATTAATTTATTTGATAAGGTTCAATCGAATCAACTTTACAGAGTCGAGGATTCTTGTTTACTAAACAATACATTTTAAAACTATAGTCAAAAGGGAAAACCCAACAAATACTTTATCTTCCGCAATCCAATAAGCCTCTTCCATCCGAAAGAGAGCCGCTTCCAGTGGTTTCATTGTGTGGCAGAATCGCCAACGGGGGGCAGGGTGCTTCCATGGCAAATTGTCACGCGTCGCCACTGATTGCAACAATGAACGCAAAACGTGGTCATCACTCACACACTCATCACGAAACGGTTGCTGATGAAGAACAATGAGGAGGACCACACAATGCACAGTGGGGATTTTGGTAGCAAAAAGGCTTGAAATTGTCTGCCGCTCAAACCACACATTGTAACATATGACTTCCTTTGAGAAAAATGTCAAGAATTCTATTCTGCATATTTTCAATCGGCGCACGCGGTGATAAGTGCATGTATGGAGCCTATTTACTGAGTATTTTGTACAGCGTACATATTTATTTTTTAATATGCCATTCAAAATGAGAAAACTTGTATATTTGACACATAGCTTATTTGACCCCACATTCTCCTTTAAATGTTTCCAATAGTTAATCAAAGCTCACTTACTGGCTTCTAAATGGTATATTTGGAAACTTCCAAAGAAATTAATTGTCTATTTAAGGCAATACACCAGTTTAAATGCTTTCAATTGATAGAGGATTTTGGGGTAAATCAGGTGCTAAACATGTATTTATTTGTCCGTACACAGTATGAAAACAAGCACATTTGATGCTTGGATTCCTTTTTACCGCAAGAAAACCTAAATCTCGTGTTAGCATTTCAGCGGCAGAAACTGTTCAGTCATTAGAAATCTTTCAAAAAAAGTTAATTGTTTTGATATGAGATACCGGGGCAAAATACGCTCAAAACATGCATTTGAATCAGTTTTGTCCTTTGGACTATTGTAATCCACTTTCTGAGCATCTCTTTTTTATTTTTTAGTATTGAGTTTTAAATTCGGAAAGCTTTTATATTTTATTACAAAATCTGGCTTATTTTACCCCATGCTCTCCTATAAATGTTATCAATAGTTTTTAAAAGGCACAAGTTCACTACTAGAAGACAAATTGGCTATTTCTGATAAAGGGTACTGACTATTTGAATTACTGAAGTATCATAATTGGACAGAACTACAGAAAAATACTGGATTTTGGGGCATAATAGGCTCCACGCATGCACTTATCACCGCGGCACCGCGATTGAAAATATGCAGAATAAAATTCTTGACATTTTTCTCAAAGGAAGTCATATGTTACAATGTGCAGTTTGAGCGGCAGGCAATTTCAAGCCTTTTTGCTGCCAAAATCCCCACTGTGCAATGGTTGCTGCCGAGACGATCGAGTGGCCTGCTTCTGTCGACATCCGAGTGAACACTGTACGGATGGGTTAACGATCGTTAAATTGCGCTTCGTTAAATAATTCTTTGGCTATTGGAACTTTGTGCCTGCCTTGGCAGTGTCGGGTTAAATTTAACTCGTAGTAGGGTGTCTACTACCTTGAAATACCTGGAAAACCAGGATTAGAATGTATTGAAGTTTGCCAAGGAAACTTCTCAAGAATTTCAAAACCGGGGAATACAAAACAACCGGCAAACAAATCTGAAAATAAACCGGGAATTCAATTGGAGCCTTAAAATGTATTTGAATAGATATTTTAATTTAATTCCGTTATATTTAAAATTCTAAGTTCGTTATCTGGAATACTTCACTTAGAATCTGAAATATTCTACTTTGACTATATGTTTTAGTATTACTTCTACGTGAAGCGAGGGGGAAGACAGTGAGAATTTAAGAGCAATCCAGAGTAACTCTGAGGAACTCTTTTACTCTCTGATGAACGATTTTATTATCTCGATTGTTTTGACAGCGCAGCCCAAGCAATTAATGTTTTCGGTGTAAAGGAACGTTAGTTTTTTCAGCCGGTGATCTATGCCGTAAAATACTATCAATTCATCGGAGAACCTGCTACTCACGTTATAACGTTGCTGTTTTGATACAAAATAAATGGGGCTAGGGGGGCGTATGTGGGGGTTTGGTGGACGTGGTTTGTACGTCTGTATTTTCCTGTTCTAGCAACCGAGACCCTCACAGGATTCATCCTCAAGTACATGTCCCCACCTGAGCTCGTAGCCGGAAGGGAATATCCATTCGCTTGCTCTAAGCATCTGGATGCCCAGTACTACGGTAGCAAGATCCTGGTCAATTTCATTACAATTGTAAAGAGAAAAGTGCCGTGCAGAAAGCCATCATCAGAGTGATTTAAGAAAATAGAAAAAACTTCAATGAGCTGGTAGAAAACGAGATTATTTCCTTATTTAAATATTGCATATATTTATTTTCTTCATTCAATGTTTTCGTTTCGTTATCGAACTGACATTTGCATGGTCAGATTCCAAAACTATATTCCCTACTAATTCTGTTTTCGTCACAAATTAGATCAGATCCCAGGGGAAACCAGAGTAGCTCTGAGCAACTCTGAGTAAAAGAGGTACTCAAATGAAAGCCGTCTTCCCCCTCGACGTGAAGTCAACGATTTACATAGTTGAAGATGCTAATTTCAAATAACAGACTGTAGTGGTAATTTTTATACGATAGATGGAGTAGATGAAAGCATAGAGTTGATAGTTCCGTTAGAGTGCGGCAGTGTGAAAATTGCATATAGATATTAGAATAGCGAGCTAGAACAACTTTTAAGGGAGGTAAAAATCGGTTTTTTCATCTCTCTTCACCAAACTCCCCCTTTGGAGAGGGATTGTGAGGGGTGTCCCCCCCCCCCCCGCCACCACTGGCAAAAAGAGATGAAAACCGACTCGCTCAAGTACCAACTGTGTGTTTGAAACAGTTCTACCGATTTTTTACCGCACTCCTTATTTGAAGGAAGGCATCCAGTCGTAGGTTTGGAAATTGCAACTATTGTTTACCACTACCACGATATGTGCTCCTGTCATCGTCGACTTGACGATCTCGAGGGGACACGGGTGGGGTAGGTGCTGCTACTGTACCTTTCGACCATTGACAGTAATTGATGGTATGCTCCCATCCAGAGTTCATCGGTTGGTTTTCATCTCTTTTTGCCAGTGGTGGCGGGGGGGGACACCCCTCACCATCCCTCTCCAAAGGGGGAGTTTGGTAAAGAGAGAAGAAAAAACCGATTTGTACCTTCCTTAAAAGTTGTTCTAGCTCGCTATTCTAATATCTATATGCAATTTTCACACTGCCGCACTCTAACGGAACTATCAACTCTATGCTTTCATCTAGAAGAAACGTGCTCAACTTTTTGGCTCAGCTCTAGTACTCTCTTCGGTCCCAAGCTAACCGATGCACTTCTCGTAACATAGGAAAATCCACGAGCCCCTAGTTTTATCTGTCAAACTTTCATAGCGAATCAAAACAAACATAGTGTAGTACTAACGGCGCCGGTGGTGTAGTGGTAAGCGTGATTACCTCTCACCCCAGCAGGCCTGGGTTCAATCCCAGTCGGCGCCGCCGGGATGTTCTGAGGCATAACATCTCTGATCACGCCTTTCTTCGGATGGGAAGTAAAGCCGTTGGTCCCCGGTTCATGGGTTGATGGGTCGAGAGGTAGGGTCAAGGTGTGGGAGCTGCCTTCCTGGCACGTCGGTAGCATTGGTGCTCAGCACGGAAAACAATATCGACATAAAAAAACAAACCAAAGGAAAAAAAAAAGTGTAGTACTAGAATTTCGACTAGAATGGGGTACGTTAATCGATTTACTTGGGACCAATAGGCTAGTCAAGTCAAGTAGTGAACCAATTTTAAATCGTTAGTTTCCACCGGTTGGTTCTACGGTATTCAAGATGTTTTTCCTAGAAAATCGAGAAAATTTTCACTCACTCACTAGCCACCTTTTTTTTGTAAATATGGAGTCAAACTCAACTCAATTTTGAGTTAATCTCATTGGCCGTGTACTAGTGTACTCATAGACTTAAAATTTTACTTTTTTTCAAGCAGATTTTTGTGGAAAATTTTACTTACTTTCTACTATTTTGAGAGAAATCCTACTCAATTTTAAGTTAGTCTAATCGGTAGTGTGTGGCATCTAACATCCCCAGACGATCTGAAGCAAAACTTACAGGCAGGCATGGAAAATCATTTGCATTCATTTCATACATTCATTTACATTCATTTGCCTCTAACTTTTTTCAGCAACAGCATTCCGCAAAATGATGTATAGAGCTTTTGTAGGTTTTGTTATTAGCTACAAGTTTTGCGCATAATTCAAATCTGTATCGTGACGTTAGAGGTAATTAGTAATCGAAAGCATTCAGTCACCGCTTGTATCAGACGGTGTCCGCCTGTCAATGAGGTGTCGAGCGGCGGTCGTGGACTAGAGAAGAAAACGATAAACATGTACATACTTTTAGTCGTGAATAAAGAACAATATGGTCGTTACGATATCTGTACAAATACATTCATTACATTGGCGACGAGGATTTAAGTAAAAGTTCGTGAATTTCTGTAGAATGGCGCAGGCATCGCGGTTTCGGTTTTTCGATGGGGAAACGGAAGAATGGGAGCTGTACAAGGAGCAGCTAGAGCAGTTTTTTACGGCGAATCAGATTGCGGATAACATGAAGAAAGCGGTGCTTATCAACCATTGTGAAGCAAAAACATACAAACTGCTGCGGGACCTTTGCACACCGAATGCGCCAGCGGAAAAAACATACGTGCAGTTATGTGAGCTTATGTCGAAACATTTCACCCCACCTGTGGTGGTGCATAAAGAACGCCGAAATTTTATGAGTGCTAGGATGCGAGATGATCCCCCGGAGAGTTTGAATGCTTGGGCAGCGCGAGTGAAGATCTTGGAATCGAATTGCAAATTGGGAGACCAATTGCAGCATGATTTACTCAACAAGTTTGTTGATGGTCTCGAAGGAAAGGCATACGACCGAATCTGCGAGGAAGACGAGAAGCTGACGTTCGAACGGGCATACGAAATTGCAATCAAGTACGAACCGGAAGAAAGCAAATCAGCAGGAATTATCCAGATGGGACGGGGAAAACATGATTTCGAACGAGGACGTTCCAGTGGTGTGAAGAATTCAACGGGTGTTGGAGACAATCGGTGCTTGGCATGTAATCGCGTAGGCCATTTCAAGCGAGATTGCCGATTCAAAGAATACATCTGTCGAAAGTGCAACAAACGGGGCCACCTGCAATCGGCGTGTACCTCCAAGAGAAATTACTTCGTTGGAGGACAGGAGCAACTGGAGCACAGTTTGGGGGATACGGATGAGTTGAACTTGGAGCAAAACTTCATCAGTAAGTGTGACGGTTCAATTTTTTCTATTGAGGGACAAGTGTTTGATGTTCCTTTGGAAACAGAGGTCAGGATTAGTAGTAGAGCCTATAGAATGCAGTTAGACACAGGAGCAGCAGTCTCAGTGATTTCGGTGTGGTATTTCAATAAGAACATGAGTGCGTGTGAATTGAAATCGACAAATTTGCGATTAACAGGTTACGGTGGAGAGCAGTTGCTGGTGAAAGGTGTGATTGAACCAGTGATTGAGTTCAGAGGAATTCGCAAGGCGTTACGTGTGCGATAATGGGTCACAATTTACAACGGCTAAATTCAAAAGCTTTTTGGCGACTAATTCAGTTAGGCTGACATTTAAAAGTCCAGGTCATCCTGCTACGAATGGCCAAGCAGAGAACGCTGTAAAAACTTTCAAGGCTTCACTGTTTAAGTGTCTAGCTGGAGGAGGATCCAACGTGCGCGAGATAGTAGCTAATTTTCTGATGGGTTATCGTAACGCTGCGCATTGTGTAACCGGATTTTCTCCAGCTAAAATGATGCTTGGTAGAGAGCTACGACATCATTGGACTTGATGTTACCACGCGCTAGAGAGAATTCATCAGCGGTGGAGCAAAAAGTGGGGCAGGCAATTATCGTTCAGCAACCCGCATAAACGCGAACCATCACATGACCTTACCGATAATGGTTATAAATTGTTTATAATCCCTGCTAAACTTCAACTGAAATGGTTATGGAACTTTACATGAACGTTTGTGTGATAAAGTTTTAACCTTATGTATTATGGTTTTTTGGAAGCGGACCTTACAAATAATGGGTTGTTAAGAACCATTACCATTCCAAATTCTTGTTTTCTTCATACATTTTCGGAAAGAGAACTATATTAGAACGTTTTTACTTATGGTTTGAGAACATTAATGGTTATGGTTATGGTAGTCAGTAAGGTCGATTAATGGTTTTGTATTATCGCTCAACTTTACGTGAAATATATCGTGAATTGGTAATCAGTAATTTACAGGCAACCAATTCGCGATATATTCCACATAAAGTTGATCGATGTTACAAAACCATTCATGGACCTTACTGGTTACCATAACCATTACCATTAATGTTCTCAAACCATAAGTTAAAAGGTTTTAGTATAGTTTTCTTTCCGAAAATGTATGGAGAAAACAAGAATTTTGAATGGTAATGGTTCTTAACAACCCATTATTTGTAAGGTCTACTTCCAAAAAACTATAATACTTAAGGTTAAAACTTTATCATTAAACGTTCATGTAAAGTTCCATAACCATTTCAGTTGAAGTTTAGCAGGGATTATAAACAATTTATAACCATTATCGGTAAGGTCAATTTATGATTCGCGCTTATGCGGGAAGAATCCCAAGTGAGGAACTACAGAGGATCGAGGGACATTCGGTTTCAAGAGGGTGATCTTGTTATCGTACGGGACTATACCAACCCGAATAAGGCAAGTTGGACGCCGGCAATAGTAACTCGTACTCTCGGTAAGCGAAACTGTTTGGTGAGGTTATCCAAGAGTGACCGGATATTCAAACGACATCTGGACCAGAAGTCACGGGATACGAGACAAGCTGAAGTATAGAATAGCGTACCGAGGAACCTGACACAGGAACAAAAGCTAGATCGGTACGAGTATCCAGTGCGGGTCAAAAGATCACCGGCTCCCGTAGGGGAAGTTCTACAAACACCATCGCAAGCATCGGCTACCATCGAGCAGGCACAGGAACAAGAGCAACAAGTAGAGGAGGCGGAGGTAGAAGAGGGCAATGAAACATATTTCTCGGATAATGATTAAGTAGAAGAGCAGGAAGAAGAAGACAATTCCAATGAAAGTGATGCAAGTTTCACTGGTGTGCATAGTGTTGATAGCGATGACGGATTAGAGCTAGTAGGTTTCGATAGAGGCAATCTACAATTCTCGATTATTCTTTTATTCTTGTGAGGTTGTTCAATTAAATAATAATCTTAGTGTGAGGGTGTGACGTTAGAGGTAATTAGTAATCGAAAGCATTCAGTCACCCCTTGTATCAGACGTGTCCGCCTGTCAATGAGGAGTCGAGCGGCAGTCGTGGACTAGAGAAGAAAACGATAAACATGTACTTTTGGTCGTGAATAAAGAACAATATGGTCGTTACGATATCTGTACAAATACATTCATTACACTTATGCATCACGAACTAGAGTGGGCAGAACTTGTTACTGTTTTTCAGTGAATGTAAAATACATTCACTGTTAAACAGTAGTGGCTTCTGTTCGCTCTGCTTCGTCATGCATAAAAGATACAAATTTGACTTGTTAACAAAAGTTGTACCACATTTATGGATGTTCCGGAAGATGGCCACATGACCATGCGGTTCCATGTTTATGTTACGACCCCAAATTCATTCTTATATGACCGTTTCAAGTGATTTCGAAAAAAACCGTGGAGCTCTAGAATCAGTTTCGTGGATTGACTACTTTTACGGATGCTCCGGATGTTTCGGAGGACGGTCCCAGGGTTCACGTTTGTGTCCATAATTGCCACGTCTCATTCTTAAGTGCACCCCACACGACAGAAATTTCGTCAATATTTCCATCAACATGTTCATGCCAATATTTTAACAATATTTTCAGGGGGCATCAACACAGGGTTGCTCCTCACTAACATTGTTTTATCCGATGGAATATTCCGAATCCAAATCCAACCACCTTGACAAAAGATGTCGAGGAACAGGCCCCATCGCTGTATTCAAACAGAAGTGGAAAATGAGGGGAAATATTGAAATATGAAATCAAACTTTTTTTTTTAATTTGCGTCAATATATTCGTTGTCAATATTTGCATCAATATGATTGTCAATCAAGGGGTATTCAACTCTGCACACCCTAATCTGTGGTGCAAGTTTTAGCTGTGTCGAAAGCTGTGCGAAGCGCTGTACCGAACGTGCCGAAGTTGCCGAAGTAGGCCGAAGTGTACCAATTAAGGTGTCAATATCCCATTAGTTTGGCAATCCTGAAGTTATGACTTTTGTGATTGTGTTTTCATTAAAAATTTCTTATAGTTTCTTGCAAACATTAAGCTGCATTCTCATTTGAACGTGAGCGAAGCGGGCAGTGCAAGAGGAACTCGATGCCATATAACCTATACGGTGTTCCAGCAAATTCGACCCGTACAAAAGAAACGTGTGCAGCAACGAAGGTATAACCTGATTGATGGTGGATGAAATTTTTTCCAGCTGCCGGTTAAATGCTCTCCGACAAGTCATCTGATCGACTCAAAAATACGTTTCCTCGATGATAAGCCTGTCGTGTCGCTGATTGTCTTCCGCAATGTACTACCAATGAAAACCAATGGCCAATTTACCACCGATGAAAACCATCAAATATCCCTCCAATCCAGATCAGTAATACTTCGGAAATGGTTTGTGTTCCAGATAAGCTTCGGATCTGCAGTTCTACTGCAGGCAGGACACTGTGGTTGTTGTTGCTAATCTGCATGGGCATAAGCTCTTGCCGAACAGCAAGTTACATATACAAGCTGAACATTGCATTATTAGGTCCTAAGTAACATTGGTCGATTCTCTTCGTCGACTTTCTCTTTCGTTACTAACATGAGCACATAACCGCTTCTTGTTGTTTTTGTCGTATTAGATGCTAGATGAAAGCTTCTTTTATCGATATGTGTGCTGAAAATACCTGGGATTGTCTTAAGATGGCTGTGGGTATACAAAGAGAATCTTTCAATGTTACTTACGACCTAATGCAATGTTCAGCTTGAGTTCGTATCATTTGTAATGGTAGTTCAATTATTCAACACCTAACTAATTGGATTGATATATACAAAACCTTATTCCTATCTGCAACAGAGCGGTTTGTACTTAGTAGACCGAAAATTAGATCTCAACCCAATTAAAAAATGGATTTGTCTCTCAGAATGATATGTTATTTTGACAATTCAAAATGACATTAAATGCATAGGCCATGTCAACTTAGTTAAATAATATCTTGGATTGTATTTATTATGATCGAAGGAATCATCGACCCAGTATCCAACTATGTATTCTTTCTATTAGTTATTGCTCTGATTCGTTCCAATATTTTTCATCTTCTCCAGTCGTCGCTCGTCCGACAAGTTTGCTAATACAAAAAAAAAACGCCAACTAGTGAAAAAATACACATCAAGAAAGTGCATTCGCCAAACAGTTACTGTTGTTATACGGTACTGATGTCTTGCTCCTTCTCCATCATCATCATCATCATTGCCGTTTTTGTTTTGTGTCGCTCGCTGCCGCAGCAACCAATGCAATGCCACAAACAACCGTTAATGTGTCAGACTTTGTTTTTGTCGTTTTTGTTGTCCGTCCGCCTGTTTCCAAAGCAGTTTAGGACAAAATCCCGGACTTGTACCACACCAGAGCGATAATTAAGATTTAGTGTCTTCTCGCTGCGATCGATCCCGTTTTATTGCCCCTTCAGACCGGGCAGACAGATAAGCAAAGTGTAGCACAACATACGTAGGTACGTACTTATAATACTTCCTTGTTTACAATTCGCTAGAAAATTCACCACGACTGCATCGATACGTCTGGTTTGCGATTGTGAAGATCTGTGTAAACAACACACGCCCGGCCCGGAGTTTGCTATGACGAGGAAGGAAAAAAACAGCTCAACTACTCACTCCGATTGAATTGCGAGCGAGAGTAGAAAATCCTGCTTTTTCTATTTAGCTATTATTGCTATAATTCACACTGATAATCAGATTAAGGATGATTTGCAAGGTTTTTTTTTATAATTCTATCAGGGTGGGGCCAGAGTTCGCCGAGGCGGCGGTTATCAGCCGTCCACCAATGCGAGCGTATAAATTACGTTCAGAGTGTCTTATTGCGATAAGGCCCGTCGACGAGGTTGTTAAAGTTATCATCGACAGCACTGTGCAGGAATTTGAACTAATTCCCAACAATTTCCGTTTCCGCTTCCATTCCAGCTGGTGACAATCAACTGCATCCATCCAAAGAGTTCTCGCGTTACAGCAGAATCCAACCGCGACTGGTCCACGGTCGCCACAAACGTTCACTAGCGAGCACCCGTGAAGAGGTAAGTGTCCTGAAGCAGTCAAATTGCCACCACGATATTGATCTCTTTCCTTCCGTACTTCCAGAATGGTCTTCACGCGTCGCACCTAACGCTAACCTATAGGTTAAGTCAAGAAGATGTGATATTAGATTTACAATTGAACGAACAACTGGTCCCGCGGGGGCACTTTCTCAGCTATCAGCTCCCGAACGGAACCGGTAAGGCCGTCGAGCGGTACAACCGAACGGAGCAGGTGGAACTATGCCAATATAGGGTAATTTGCTGCGTTTTGTTTTCGATGTCGCAACACCTGACTCGTTGATTCTGTTGCAGGGTAAAATACGGGATAAGCCGGAGTCTAGCGTAGCGCTTTCAACCTGCCATGGTGTTCGAGGGGTCGTCTTCGACGGTCACGAGACCTACTACATTGAAAGCGACGTCCCGATTGGGGATACCGGAAATGTCCTCAACAGGATAGACCTAGCCGATCATTACATCTATCGGTGAGTACACAAGTTACGAAGGGTTCCGGATCCTAGTTGAGGAATTTCGTTTTTTTTAGGCACTCGGATCTGTTGACGCATGGGAAATGTGGATACGAGGGAGGCGTCAACTCCACTCACGATGCGGAACTATACCGGGAATCGGAGTTTCAGCGGTTGTCGAGGGTAAGTTCTGTTTGTGGTGGTTGCCAAAGTAGGGTAAAGTGGGGGCATGATGGGTCATCTACTGTACTTATTTTGTCATGATCAGCAGGGTCAAATGTTGGAAAAGCAAACCATCGTTGAACCAGTTGATATTGATTTACAAATAAATTAATAAATGTACTAACTGGCCCATCTTGCCCCCATCGCTCAACTTGTGCTTTTCCTAAGGTCCTTGGGTTTTAAACAAATTTGTTAAGCTTCGAGTGAAGTTCAGAGACCTTTCAAGTCAAGTTTCAGGAATAATCCAGAAGGTAATCACTAAGAAACTTCTTGAATGGTAGCGAAGAACAGTCATGCAAGGATCAATTTACTTTTCTCGTCTTCCATCTAGTACAACTTTTTTAAGACTGCACGTATCGAGACGAAACTTTTACCACTGAAACACGTGTAGTTTCGAAACAAATCACTGTCAAAACATTTCAAATCCGACCACTAGAGGCGCTGAAGTGTCTGGATTCTAGGTGGACCAGACTTTACTCCTAAAACAAAACCTGAACAAACCTATCGGTTGCATCGATGACGTCAACGTAGGTACCATCGAAAGGGAAAGTGGTCTCTCTTGTTGATCTAGCTGGCCGTCGAACGATTGGCAAAAAAAGCCATGCAAAACAGTCTGCATGTTGATTTCTGAACGTGCAAGAAAACAAAGGGTCAGGTGCGTGCTTCAATTCTGGCTGGTAGCTATTTCAGCAACTGGAAATAGACAAAGATTCTCGACTGCTTGTTTCAACTCTCCAGATGATGTCTTCAGCTCTCACGACACCATCAGCGCCCGGGTGTACATCCATGATGCGGCCCATGCGCCTACTAGTCGGTGGTTGATTTTTGTCCAGAGTAGCAACCAGTCTTGCAACTTCAAACAACGCTTGGACCTGCCTTGTGATTGACAGAGGTATTCTCTCTTCCATCTGTCCTAGAAATGCTGTGGATGCTGCTGAACCATTTGATATTGCCTTAAGCGGTTCGGTGGTACCGACCGTACGTCCGGTTCGGGAAGTGATTGTAAGGAAATATGCTGGGGTAAATGCCAACTAAACCCTCTCGTTGGCACAGAACCTGAAAACGTCTTGTCGATGATCAGTTTCGGGCCCAAATCGGTACACATTCCTCTTCGTGCGATAAACCGTGGGCGTGCTTGAAGGAACCTCTCGGTGGACAAATCGGACACCAATCCCATGTGTACATGGGAAGGCGTGCACATGCACACAAAAATGGCTACGTATTCCTTCACAGCAGCTCTACGTGGAGCTGGCCGTGTATAGATCGGACCAAAGTAATTCACTCCGGTTTTGGAGAACGGACGCGAGGAGAGCGACTCTATCTACGATGTAGTAAAAATTGTGTTTTGCTGTGATTAGCTACCTGCAAAAAGATGATCTGCGATGCAAGTAGATGCGAGGAATGAAAGAAGATTTTTCGAAGATTGATTCACTAGTGTGAGATTTGTGGAGTATCTAGAATTGAAATTTAGATGTGTCGCCCCCCTCGAACGGACGAGAAACTGTGACCCTCGATGTCAGTAGTTCTCTAACTTGTTTTGGCTTCGACCTGAAGCACATTAGGCTTCGATGGACAACCAACCTGCCTTGCGACGTTTCTTCCTTCGAGAGGCCAGTAGCGTTGCCGAACCGTTCCAAGCAGAAGATGGTAACGTTCAAGGACCATCCTGGTTAACCGGTGTCTTGCTGGTAGAATCATTGGATGTTTGGCGTCGTCAAGCTCGTCCGAATGACAAACAAACGTCCACCAACTCTTAGAATACCATTCTAGTAAACATAAGGATGATACCAGCGAAGTGGAAACCTCTTCTGACATGTTGCTTCTTCCGGACGGCTCGTAGCTCATCCGGAAATACCTCTTCCTGTACCTTCCGTATCATAGTATATTCTGCTTGCCGTAGCTCTTCCGCTCTAGTTGGACGATCCTCCGGTGTCTGCAGCGATCGCATCAACCGCAGCCAAATAGAGACGCGACGAATCAACGTCGGGTAGGAGTTCAATGTGGAGATGAACCTTTCGTTGAAATCAGCAACTGCCGACGCTGTAACGACAATTGCAGGATGCGAAACTAACCATTTTTGCGCTCTTCATTTAACCAGCTCGGTCCATGCCAGCAGAAGTCGTTGTTGATGCTAATATTCGTTCCAATTACCCTCGAAATCAAGTCTTCCGGATTGTCAGCACCTGCCACGTGTCTCCAGTCACAGCCTGGATTTTCGCAACCCTGTTCACGACAAATAATGACCACGTAGACGTATTGCCCGCCGAGGTTTTTGTTGTGTTCCATATGATTTGTGTCGATTTACCACTCATGGACTTTCTCGGGGAGCACTAGAAAAATGTGTTCTGGATGTGCGACAATTGCTCGGAACTATTTTCAAATTGTCATTTTCGGGACATAATGAATCGGCATAACGAGAAGTCCTCCATCTTACCTGAGACAATGGTATCGATGAAGCCTGGCATCGCTGAAAAAATCTCCTCGCAGCTCCAACGTGGCCCATGATTGACTGGTTCAATTCAGACATCAAAACACCCAAAAGACGTCTCGGAAATTCTGGTCTGCCGATCACATCCAAAATCAACTCGACTACACGTAGTATAAGGTCCTCCAACGGCTTTGTGAGAACTGTATCTCTGGAAGAAGATCTGACATGAGTGTATCTTTCCGCCTTTCATCCTGCCACTAAAGTTGAAGACATAGCCGCATTGACGCGTGAATGTTTACAATTCAACTCGCATTCAAAGCCCAATGTTGTAAAAGTTGTTCCAAGAGACAAGAATCCGCAATCTCTCAACTGCACCGGGTTGCATCCTTAGCTTGTGAAACATGGCCAGAAGATGTACATTTCCGTGAATTCAACGACACCCGCAAGAAAATCACCAAGATCAAATGAAATCACATCGAAGCACGCTGATGACTCTGGAGATGCAGGAAACTCAAATTTTGTTCCGGGTCAAGATATGATAAGCCAATGATTTGGACACCGGAATGCATGCAACTAAGCCGCATGAAGACCCCGATCCACCGGCACAGTCGAGTCTATTTCAGCCTGGACTCATAGCCGCTCCGGTCCTGTGTTCGGGTTTGGAGACTGGGTCTTCAAACCTTCAACCGATAATAATGATAAAGATTCCCTTTGTAGTCAGTCCTCTCAATCTCGTCATTTCAAATTTGTTCACCGTGATCCCCATCGATATGTCAGCAACGATTTTTCCAAACCAGTCACCACTAACGGAACGGCAGAACAGGACACACACACACGAATCAGTAGATTGGAAGCTTCTTATGAACCAGTCGAATCCGTCGTCGAAATACATACCCATATCGCTGCGAAGTTGTCCTGGCCCTACGTTCAGAAGTGCTGACGAGGTCTGCCAGCTTGCTTTTACAGACAAATACGATAGCATAGCAAATTTTCCTAAATTCCTAGAATTGAACCTTCAGCATCTGCCGCTGTGACGAGCTCTCGCTGCCTACCTCTTATAGCGAATTTGTTTACTATCCAGGTTGGAACCAGTTCCAACCCGTGCGAACCCGAGCTTCTTGTCAGTGCGAACCTCAACCCGAGCCAGGTTACAAAAACAAACGTTCACACTGACGTTTGCTAGACAACAAGGAGACCCAATCTTGATACCCGATCCAGGTTGGAACTGAATCAAAAACAAATTCGCTATTAGTAACATCGTCATCTACTTCCAAAATGTTCGTGGTTTGAATTCGTCTGTTCAAAACTACCATTGGGCTTGTTCCGATTGCTGTTATGATGTCATCATTCTCTGCGAAATGTGACTAAACGACAATACCCTCTCTAGTCAAATTTTCGGCTCAAACTATGAGGTTTTCCGGTGCGATATAAGCCCCAAGAATAGTAGGAAGGCATCTGACGGTGGCGTTCTAATTGCTGTCCGTGCCGGACTCGAAACCTGCTCGATTTAAAACCTCCAATGGACTGGTGCCCAGTAAATCTGGATGGAAATCAAACTCGCTGATCACAAGTTATTCCTTGGTGCTATTTACATCCCTCCAGATCGTATTCGTGGTGATTTGCTCTACAACGCTCCCATCCGATCTGTTATATCCGCCGCTGTATGTGACGAGCTTGTTATCCTCGGTGACTTCAATCTTCCCGGAATTATTTGGAAATTTTCAAATAACGGCTTCTGGTCAGCATACGTGGAAAGGTCTTCGTCCCCATCGTGCACCAGTGCCTTGCTAGATAGCTACAGCATAGCAAACCGTCGCCAAATTAACCACTGTTTCCACGAGTATGGACGAACGTTGGACTTATATTTTGTCAGCCTTCAGGACGTTGCTTCAGATATTTCAGTGAGTCCAGCTCCACTCGTGAAATAACGTGCCAAGAAGGTGAGTTATGATTTCAACAAGGCCGACTACAACAACATTATTACTGTTTTGAAGACACTTCATTGGAAAGCCCTACTAGATCACGAGAATGCCGACAGTGCTACGCAAACTTTCTCAAACATTCTATCGAATGTCATTGATCGCCACGTTCCTAAGAAAACTGCTAAATCTTCCAAGTACCCGCTATGGCAATCACGCGAATTGCGCCAGTAAACAAATAAAAGAGCTGGTTTTCGTAAATTTTCGAAACATAAAACACTTCTGCTGAAACAGCGCTATTTGCGTATCAACCATCGTTACCAAAAATTGAGTAAAGCTCGCTTTTCTGCTTACCAGCGTAACATTCAAGCATCGATGAAATCTAATCCGAAGTCGTTTTGGAACTACGTTCGACGTCAGGGTAAAGAGAATAGGATTGCTATCGACGTTGAAGTTGAATGACGCTGAAGCTTCGAGTGAACCGGAAATATCTGCCAACTGTTCTCTACGACATTCGCAGGTGTTTTTTTTTCAAACGGGTCGCTGCAACCACAACAGATTACCGAAGCTGCTTCAAAGGTTCCCGCAAGAGAATGATTTTCGAAGCTGCTTCTAAATTGAAATCTTCGACTTCACTTGGACCCGATAAAATTCCTTCTAAAGGCTGACTAAAAGTAAATTAGTACGCCCCTCGCGCGCTGCTAGCACGCCTCTAGTGTTGGGAATCGAAAATCTTTGACAGTGGTTTGTTTACACTTCTATAGAGAACAACTGGTGCAAGTTTGATCAAAGTAGTCGATCGCGTTCAGAAATAACGTCAAATGCAACTCGAAAGAAGAAAAACACCTGGAAAATCCAGAGTGGTCCGGTTCCAAGCTGGCTAAAGTAAAGTGCTAAAGATGCCGAAAACAACAGTTTGTCGAGTGCTCAATACCTACGAAAAAAAACATGAACCAGGGCAGCGGACGCGGTCTTTCGATCCGAGATGTGGCCAGAAGGTACAACGCCCACTTTCGAACGGTGCGGAACATCCTTGCCTGAGAAGGAAACAAGTCGTACAAAGCCAGTAAACATCCCAACCGGCACATGAAGCAGAATTCGGTGGCCAAAAAGCGTGCAAGGCTCTTGTACGACCGTTTTTTGACGAAACACAAGGGCTGCAAACTCGATTTTAAGCAGCTTGCCGGTCAAAAATTTTACATCGCGACTGGACGTGGGGATGTGCCGGGAAGATTTAAGGCCTAAACGCAATGTGGGCGGAAGCGGAACGGAAACGGAAAGTTTGACAGTTGTCACAAATGACATCAAGATGCCTAACCGAAGTCGATTTGGTTCTAACTAGTTGTCAATCCGAGAAGTTTGTTTACTCAGATCGGGCTTTTCCGCTTCCGCTGTCATTGCGCTTGGGCCTTTAAGTTCGCGAAGAAGGCCATGATTTGACAAGCGATTTGCAGTTGTGGCCTGAAAACGAAACCATTCGTCACATCCTCGACGATGACATCCCAAGTTTACATCGAAGAATACCTGAAAAACGTGTATTGCCGTTCATTCGCAAGCATAGGGGCAAAGTCATGTTTTGGCCAGCTGCCACTACTCTAAGGTGCTGCCAACAAGATCGATTTTGTCCCCAAGCTAATGAATCCTCCGAAGTGCCCGGAATTTCGACCAATCGAAAAATGAGGGCAAAATGGAAGAAATGCGCTGATTCCGTGTCCGTTTCACTGTCCGGGCGCTGATGGGCTCCATCGTCAAGACGAAGGTTCGAGATTTCGTTCGAACTGGAGAAATGTAACCATCTAGTGCTGTAACTTTGATGTTTTAATAAAAGTTCTGTAAAGCAACCATCAATGGACTTTTTAAACTTATTGAATCACGAATTGCAGGTCTTTTTGTGCGTACCAATTTACTTCACTACGTACGTTGTTGACAGAATATCTGAAGGACTGCAGACCGACGTCCTGTACATAGATTCTTCATCCGCTTTCGACAAAAACAACCACGAAATTGCTGTTGCTAAACTCGCCAGGTTTGGTTTCACCGGCTGTCTTCTTGATTGGTTCCAATCTTACTTGAACGGTCGGCGTCTTAACGTCGAGATTGGAAACTGCCTCTTCTTGAGGTCCTCAAGGCAACCATCTGGGCCCGTTAATTTTCCTAATGTACCTGAATGACATCAACATTTTACTAGAAGGACCTCGGTTATCATAGGCAGACGATTTCAAAATATTTTGGAAAATAGCTAAACCATGTGCTCATGTTATTAACGAAAGAGAAAGTCGACGAAGAGAATCGATCAATGTTACTAAGGACCTCAGCTTGATTTTTTCTTTATCCAACTATTCTGTTGCTCCTCTCGTCATGACCAACGTAGTCAGCTCAGAGAGAAAGCGGTGGTGTTGCGTGCTGTACCATCATCAGCATTGTTGACCGTTACTCCCGCCTTGAGTTGTTACATTCAAAGTGGTGTTTGTTACTTCATACGTGAAGTTTACGATTTTCAGAGCTGGTTGAAAATGCTATATTAATATCAACATGAAGCTTGAGTTTGAGTGTTTATTAACTAGAGAAAGTTCTGAAGAGGAAGACTTTTCACACCGCCGTAGTCTAGCGGAATTATCAATCTTGTACGCCTAACCATCAATTCGGGATGTCATCCTAACTTTATGTGGTACGGTCGTACCATCTATGATATCGTTAGTGTATAGTACCCGTTTATTAGGGCTGCCTTTCTTTGAAAAAAGCAGGTTAAAAAATAGTATTTAAGGGGGTTAGAAGAAAAGGGGTGTAAGTGACTTTGATCGATTCGCTTCATCGACTTTCTCTTTCGTTAATAATTCAGCGGCAAACACATTCCTTGATTCGTGTGCCATTCTGGACGCTAGATGAGAACCTCCTTTATCAAACTATGCGGCAGAAATAGTGCAAAATCTCAAATCAAAGAAGAAAGTCGATGAAGAGAATCTTACAAAGTCACTTATAATCAAATAGGCAGAGCAAAGTTAAAGCGTCTTTATTGAATGGTAGCTTGGGTTAAAGAGAACAATTCGACAGTGAGCATGCATAAGGGCCTATACGCGATGATCGATTCTCTTCGTCGATTTTCTCTTTGCAGCTAAGCGAAACAATTTTCTAGAATTTGTTCAATGCAGAGTAGTAACAGGTTGTATTGGCTATCAAAAGCAACAGCAAACGCACCGAGAAACGTTAAATCAAGCGAGTTATTGACAAAAGAGAAAATCGACGAAGATCATCGCGTATAGGCCCTTATGCATGCTCACTGTCGAATTCATAATTAAAAAAAGGCAAGGCCTACCACGATCTTAATATCTAGATTGTTAGGTTGCTATGCAACGCATCGGTCGGTTGTCTTCTACAACTTACACGCCTTTCCTTCTAACCAGCTCATTTGAGAAAAACCGAACTCCATCAGAACCGTTTCCAGGGAAATGGCCATATGTCGGTTAATTTTAGGCCGATTTTAGTTCTTGGCATATCATTTGCTTTGGAAATCTAATTTAGCAAGTTAGACAAGCCCTCCGGAACCCGGAATATCTCCGGGTTTTTCTTTCTAGTCGAAATTTGCCTATCCTAGTAATTTCTTGTATCCCCTGGCTGTAAGTAGAACAGTGGGTTAATTTGTGAGGACTTTAAGAAATTGGCTGAAATTTTGCTTTCCACCTGCTCTCTCACTAAACTAACAACATTTTTTTCTTTCTTCCATTCCCTCACCACCGAGAACAGCACAAACGGGCGGCCCCCAAATCATCATCGTCATCGCCGATCCGCGGCCCGTACAACGCCAACAAACACTCCAGCTACGTCGAGCTGGTGATCGTCATCGACAACAAGATGTTCAAAAGCATGAAGGAGAACTTCAAGGTCGTCCAGCAGTACTGCAAGGATATCACCAACATCATCAACGCCCTGTACGAACCGCTGAACATCTTCATCGGGTTGGTCGGGGTGGTCATCTGGAACGAAGCGAACGAGATCGAACTGTCCAGCGATGGGGAGATCACGCTGAAGAACTTCCTGCACTACCGGAAGAAGGTGCTGTTCAAGGATCACCCGAACGACAATGCGCAGCTGTTCACGAAGGAGCACTTCGAGGGTGGCGTCGTGGGCAAGGCGCTGAAGGGTCCAATCTGTACGTACGAGTTCAGCGGTGGAGTCGAGATGTACCACAGCGAAGTGATCGGAGTGCAAGCTACGACGGTGGCGCATGAAATGGGCCATAACTTCGGAATGGAGCACGATACGCCGGATTGCCACTGCGAGGACGAGCGGTGCATCATGTCCGCTTCGAGTTCGTCGATCGCTCCGAAGCACTGGAGCAGCTGCAGTATCGACCAACTGAATTTGGCGTTCCACCATGGGATGAACTACTGTTTGAAGAACAAACCGACGCAGCTGTTCGATTCGCCGGTTTGCGGCAATGGATTTGTCGAGCACGGTGAGCAGTGCGATTGTGGTCTGCCGGATCACTGTATGAACTCGTGCTGCAATCCGCGGACGTGTATGCTGCATTCGAATGCTTCCTGTGCGACCGGGGAGTGCTGTGATTTGGATACTTGCAAACCGAAGCCCGGTGGAACGGTTTGCCGCGAGGCGGAAGGAGAGTGCGATTTGCCGGAGTACTGCTCCGGGGAGTCGGAGTACTGCCCGAATGATGTGTTCAAAAGGGATACGGATGTATGCGACGAGGGAAAGGCTTTTTGCTACAAGGGATCGTGCAGGTCGCAGAACGATCAGTGCCGATTGCTGTGGGGTCCTACGGGCAGGTCGTCGAATCAATGCTACAAGAAGAATGAGGAGGGAACGCGGCACGGGAACTGCGGATACAATCGAGTGAAGAATGAGTACATCAAGTGCGACGAAGGGGACGTGTACTGCGGGATGTTGCACTGTCGGCATCTGAACGAGAGGTTGGAGTTTGGGATGGAGTCGGTGGCGATTCTGTCGCACAGCTTCATGACGTACAACGGGAGTGTGATACCGTGCAGGTCGGCGATCGTGGATTTGGGACTGCAGAAGGTGGATCCGGGATTGGCGCCGGACGGGGCCAAGTGTGGCGAGGGGAAGATGTGTCTGAACCAGTTGTGTACGGCCGTGGAGAGTCTCCGGGCGCAGGGAAGTGGAGTGCAGTGTCCGGAGGATTGCAATGAAAATGGAATTTGCAATAGCGAAGGGCACTGCCATTGCAACAAAGGGTTTGCTCCGCCGCTGTGCAATAGCCCCGGGAATGGAGGATCGGAGGACAGCGGGCCGGCTACGGATCCAAACTGTGAGTATGGTGGGGTGATTCGGAAATTGAAATTCTGGCGTCGCTTCCGCCGCAAGTTTGATCGAACACACTGAGCGAAAAGTGCATCTGAAAAATGTATGCCTGTTTTTCTTTTTTTCAGCCGGCAGCGGTTTCACCCGGTTCCTGTACATCTTCTTCTGCGGCGTGGTGCCGACCTGTGCCATCTTCGCGTTCGTCGTGTACTACCTGCGGCAGGATCATGGCGCCGGGCCCAAGAAGCACCGCAGCAAACCACCGTCCGTGTACGTACAACGAACGAAACGTTCGCTTAGCAATGCGCTTCAAACGTGCCGAAGTGCTTCCACTTCCGTCGATGTTTCTAGCAATAATACTAGCACTAAGAAGCATGTCCAAATCAGCGGCATGCAGTTGGTGTCCAGTACTAATCCCGAGTTACTAAACACTAGCACGGAGTTGCATATTTAGTTTAGTTCGGAATGGTGTTTATTTTTAAAAAGTCAATTCGCTTCTTGTCATAATATTATGCTTAATTCTTGGTTTTAATTGTTTATATCATTAAGCGCATGTTTTTAAACAAAAAAAAAGCTAGATTTGTTTTATATCTGTGTTTGTGTTCGCTAATAATAACTTATGATTGTGAATGTGTCAATTGTGATTTCTTTGATTGATTTATTCCTACCTAACCTGTCAAAAAACTAAACCCAAATTTAGTTCACTAATTCGATTGTTGTGTCGTCTCTAATCCGGTTTCCGGTTTTTGTTCCACGTTCATCCAACTTGGTGTGTAGTTTTTAGTCGCATGTCCCCACACAAACAGACACACACACACACACACAAACGCATTAACCGCTGGGTAGGTGTTGATTTGGTTTCTTTATTGATGGTTGCTTCCAACTGGCGCGGACAAGATCAACTGTGGTAATTAACTGTGATATTTGTTTTTAGATCTACGAGCAACATGAAGACCGATTCGTCACGAAGTACGGGATCGACGCACACGATGGTTCCGTCGTCGCCCAACTCTCCGGACGATATGAACTCGGCACTGCTGAGGCCATCGAGCGAGGTGGACTTCATCAGCAATAACAACATGTTTGGTAAATTCAAAGGCTTCACCCTGAAACCCCTTCCCGAGCTGGGTGCCGTTCTCAAGTCTCCCAATGTAGCATTTGTCCACCCGGTGTCCAAGTACAGCGAGGACGCCAGTAGTACCGTTCCCAGTCGGCCAGCACCCCCTGCTCCAAAGCTTAAGCCTGCTGTCCCCGCGCATACCGTTCAGATCGGTAACAGTACCTACAATAAACCGGCAGGTATCCACCAGATCAACGGATACAAGCTGGCCAACCACGAGCATCAGATGGAGAGCGCACCGGCGCTGCCTCCGTTGAACCCCGGATCAACAGCACGGCCTATCATATCCAGCCCAATTTTGGAATCCTCTACTAATACTTCAAGGGAGGTGAACTCCGGAACGACCAAGCTCCCGATCCGACCTGCTCCGGTTCTACCACCTGTGCACACCAATCCAGCGGGATCCCAGGAGAACATCGTTCCGGAGGTCCTCATCAACCCGACCAGTAAGGAAAAGAAACCCAAAGAAGGCAAGCTAAATCGCATCACATCCTACCTGAAGAAGGACGAAAAGGCGCCCAAGGCCGAACCCAAAAACATCAAGATCGTCGATAAGGAGAAACTCAAAAACCTGCAAATCTCCGCTCCGATACCGATATCTTCGGATCTAGCGCAAAGTATGCCCAAGTTGAACGAAACCGAGTCGGCAATGGCGGTTGAGACAAGCGCAGTAAGCGTCCAGCGTGCGAAGAGCATGCGGGACCCGGAGGCTAACGGAAAGCGAGTTCCCGGAGATGGCCAAGCTGCTTCGGAATCACCACGGAAGCCGTCGACTCTGAAACGTCCCCAGAGCATGGTTGGTTCCCGCCCTACGATGCCTCCTCCACGACCTCCGGTACCGCCAGCTCCCGCGATCACCGGTATGAAGATCCCGGGTGTTCCCGGCTACCAGAATCCACCGCCACCAAAGTCCGTCACCATCGTAACTCCCCGGAACGAATACGATGACTGTCATGACGTGGAAGACTCGACGGCCACGACTACGACTTCTGCACTAGGCCATGACAACATCTACTCGGTGATCGACGAGTCCCCGTCACCTCCGAGCATCCTTTCACCGCAGGCAACTCTCTCGTCCGGAAGTTCCGACGGCATGGGTCTCCTGGGGGAGATTGTCAACGAAATCGAGAGTCGCGGAAGCGACTCAGTGTACATAGCTACGACGCTCAAAAGGGACGGAGGAGGTATCCGGAAGTATTCCCAGGCTCCCAAGGCCGAGGAGGAGGACGAAGACGACGAACCGACGTACGTCAATACTTCGGAGATTCAGGACGACGATGATCCGACGGAAGACGAAGAGCCGTATCCCGCCAATCTCAAGTCCAGCGCCAGTACCACGTCCAGCGGCTACCTGCGACCGTCGGCGATCAACGCCCCGATCGCCCGGGTGGCTCCCTCGAAGCCAGAAAGTGTTTCATCTAATTTAAGTAGTTTTAGAAATGGCGGCGGAAACGTCCTTAGCACGCTGCAGTTCGAAGGTCCGACCACCGAGTCCAGCAAGCCACGAGCGGCAGCGGCGGTGGCCAAGAAATCCACGGCCCCAGCTCCCTACAAGCCTTATCACAGTACGGTGGCCAACAGCCGACCGGCATCGGTCGTAACGGCCACCAAGTCCAAAATCAACCAGGACAAGCAGCTGGCCAATGGTGCGGCACCGAAACTAAGTCGAAACCCGACGCCACCTAATCTCACCACAAATGGCCGGAAACCGCTCGGCAATAGCGTCCGGACGCGAAGTCCCTCGCCGAAAGGTCGAATCGCGAATGGCGGCGTGACAGCGGCCAAGGCGGCAGCTCCGCAGAAACCCAAAACTCCGGCCAAACCGGACAGCGTAGTCAAACCGAAGATCTCGTCGTTGACCGCCAACAGCAAGATCCTGACGGCTGCTGCCCGGCCCGCACCGGGCAAGGCGTCCAACGTGGCATCACTGCAGCAGAAATTCGAAACGAAAAAATAGGTCACAACAGCTGGCGCCATCTCTACTTAGAATCACCGTACTAATTCGCAAAACCAATAGAAGGAGCCCGAGATCAATCATTCATATTATGTTAATGTGAAGGAAAAATGGGAAACCTCCCGCTTCGTTCCGTTTTTACGACACAGAAGAAGAAGAAGAAACAATCAATCTGTATAATAGTAGAACCGGGGTTTTTTGAATGCTTAAGATTTTATACCGAAACCAATCGCGCGCAATAGATCGTTTTTGTTTTCTTTTAAATAATAAACTAGTATCAAAGATTATAATACAAGTGTTGTGAAAAGGGCTTGATCTCCTCCCCACTCGATTTGAGCGCTTATTGTTTCTTGAGCTTTCCCCCCTACCCTCGCCCTGCTGTTTAGATAAAATCGCGTAAAATTTAGAATCTATCGAAACTCCTTATCGAACCAATATGTTTGTTTGTAAATAGCAACCAAAGAAAATGAAAAGAAAAACCCGAAGAAAGAAGATGAGGAAGAAGCACATAAGCATGGGAAAGGAACGAGAGAGAGAGAGATAGAATGGAAAGTGTTTATCAAAAAAGCAAGAAACCGCAACTAAGTAATCGAATTTCAGTAGCCGTACGTAAATGTTTAAGAGACAGAAATTAAAAAAAAAACTGAGGAAAACGAATCAAAAAATGGAGAAAATTGATCAGAAACGATTTGTGGTACCGAGTATAAGATTATTATTGTAGGATTTGAAAATTTTGCTGTATGGTTATCGAGCGATGCGAGCAGGATGTTAGAAAAGGGAAGTAAGAACAACAACATACTATTTGTGTAAAGTAACTGCTTTTTATAGGTGAACAACAGAAAATTGTAAGAAGGAAAAATCGAATAAAAACTTTTATAATATCGATCCCGTGACAGGCTTTCTGGTTTACCTTCGAAATTTTCTATATGAAGCGAATTAAGTTTTATTAATTTCGTCAAGCAAAATTAGACTACATACAATGGTTACAATGTTTCACTTACATGCTATGCATTCAGGAGGTAAGTCACATTGTGCTAACACCCACGAAAACACACTTCAAACACACTTCAAACACCCTTTCACTTGCTTCCACCGCTTGCAAATTTTTGACGTAGGACTACCTCTGTGATTTCTATATATGGGTACACTTTGTGAAAACCGAAAATGGAACATGTAACAAAATAATGAAAGATTTTGAACGTTAATAACTCAGCTGCCACTGGACCAATTTCAATAATTTTATCACCAATCAATGTCACTGTACAACTGTTCCTATGATAGTTAAAATTATCACCGATTAACTGCGAAAAGCGATTTCCCAAACACAGATTTCAAAGTTGAATTGAAATGTTTATTCAATCACCGTGTAATGAGTGGTGGTGTTCTCCAGCGCACAACCAAACCCCAATGAACCAATTACCATATCCGAATGATAACCCAAATGATTGAACCATTCCACAAATGGTTTTGATGATCCCAAATACGTCGTTAAGCAACATAACCATACAAATTTTATTAGGGAAGGCTCCCCCCAAGCAGCTAGCTATCAAGGCTGGCCTCAACCGTTGATCGGATTCAGTTACAATCACCGTGTGTGGTGGTCAACGTCATCATCCGGTAGGGTAAGGCGTGCCTTGAATTCCTAGAAATTATCGAGAGAAGTCATTGTTTACAAAAGCTATTACGCCTAATTCCAGCTCTATCTAGATATGCTTAAATCTAACATACAATGTATGAACTTTAACACAACATTGGGGGTGCAATTTCAAAAACCAAAGTCGGTCGCGACATGAAAGTTGTCTGATTTTGATCCAGAGATGATGGATTTTAATTCTAAATACGCCAATCGATAGGATTTTTTCTACGAATTTGTTGAAATTAAGACTTTATGATTTTTCAAAATGTCACTATTGAAAATTGGACGAATGTGCAACTGTTGCTACGATAATTGAAATAATCACCGATTGCCTGCGAAAAGCGATTTCCCTAACACAGATTTCAAAGTTGAATTGCTTCCGGTCTCACCAAACGGTGTTTAATCAATCACCGCGTGGTGAGTGGTGGTGTTCTCCAGTACACAACATAGACGGAGGAAGAAGCCGCACTGCTATTGATCGGAATCAGTAGGTCTTCGTGAGTCGCTGTGGTCATCTATGTCAAGCGTGTCATACTAAACAGAGAGAACCCCGCTCAAATTCCTATTCCTACACAAAACACAAGCTCCTGCTGCATAACGCATAAGATTTATTATATAAGACCACGTAGTCCTACGTCACCATTGCGTACAACCTACAACCATACAGGTAACTCTAAGGTTACCGTATGCGTGATAATGTTTGCACCATCGTACAAATAAGGTTCCCGTTTCACCTGTGCATACAATGCCTTGGTTTTCTTTGCATGCACGTAACCTACACAACAAATTTAAGTTTACATTATCAGTACAACGAATTGCTGGATCATGATCAGTAGACTGATGCAAAATTTGAAATTTTCGCTCCACAGTGCTCAAACGGTTTCAAATCAGGTCCTGATTAGCCTCCCAAAATTTAAACTCATTCGGTAAGAAACTGACTTGGCACAAACTATTCGAAGTTTATATGGAAATTACTATGGGAAAACCAAACTTTTTGTTCATTGTCTTCTACCCATTTTCCATATTGCTTTTTCGAAAATTTCTATAACTATTATTACGGGAAATTTTCTTAGCTACAACTTTGCGGAATATCGTTTTTCAGCCAAATGTCAAATTAAATTGTTATTAATTGTTTAAGAGGTTGATAATCTTATGGCATGATCAAGCAGCTGTTCTGTTAGCAACACTGTATTCTGCAGTGTGACATGTAGCCATGATATTTGTGCTCTATTCTTCTCACTAGAAACACCAAAGTTGCCTGCTGAACAGTTGAATGAGCATAATCATAAGACATCAGTGACTTGAATCATTAATAACTTTTGTTCCTTACATTTGATTGAAAAGTTGTAGCTGAGAAGATTTGCTACAGTACTGTTATTACACTGTTATCATTTTTAAAAGCATAGTGATGTGGTGAATTGTTATATACATATGATCAAAACCATAAGTTTTCCCATAGTAATTCCTATACAAACTTGAAATGGTTTGTGCCAAGTAAGTTTCTTACTAAAGTAGGTCAAATTTTGGGAGGCTAAACAGGACCCAATTTGGAACCGTGGAGCGAAAATTTCCAATTTTGCATCAGTCTAATGATCAGCAATCCAATGCTTTACTGAAAAAAAGCAAACGATATTTTTACCGAAAAAATCAGCTAACATAAACTATCAATGGTAGTACACACCAAAAATCTGAATCGAGTTCCAGCAAAATTGATTGTTGAACTGCTTCCAGCAAAAACATTTCTTGCTGAACAACCAGCAATCCATAAAAAAAAGCTGGATTTTACAGTAATCTGTTTGAAACGTCAAAGTCGACCGGGCCATCGTTTCTTCGCTGCAGGTTATTTTTTTATTTTTCGAGTCAAGAAGTGTACGACTTTGGAATCATCCCATTAATTACATAAATGGTATTTCAATCATGGAGTAAGTATTTTTAACTTTGAGTTGACTAAGGTTAAAATGTTATTTTCTCTTTATTTATAGCCTTTTCATTTGAATAAAACTATAGATTGGCCTATGGAATGTGCTCAAAATAAGCCCAGTTTTTTTTTTATCGTTTGTTAAAAAATTGTCTTCATATGAGAAAATAAAGTTTTGTACGATTATAATACAGCACGCCAGTGTACTTAAGTGTTTTTCAGTAAAAATTCTATCAAGAATTTTATAAAAAAAAAAAAAAACAATTGAGGATTACTGTTCTTCCAGCAAAACGATTGGCATTACGCTATACTGTATAATCAGCATACATTTCTGGTTTTACAGCAAACTGCTGTCAGTTTGACTTTGGGCCGAATTGCTGATCGTCCAGCAAACAGTATTTTGCTGGATGGATTGCTGAACTTCCAGTTCGGCAAAATCCAGCAAAATATTGCTGGATTCCAGCAATAAAAAATGGGTGTGTAGGCTGTGTGATTTACTTAGTTTGACAGTTGCACCATGACGAAGTGGCAGCGCATTCGTAATTTGTCCCACGCGCAAATGTCGCAAAAAGACATTTCAATTGCCGTGGGAGTGTCCCGGTGGGGTTAAACCACAAACGAAGTGACAGACGGAGCGGCTCGAAAACTTTGGTGACTAAGCTGCTATTGAAATTTTTCAGTGTACCACATGGCAACACCACTACTACTGGATTGCACCACATGGCAACACTACTAGAAGACTAGAAGGTCCCGAAGAAACGAGCTCAACTTTTTGGCTCAGCCCTGGTACTATCCTAGAGGTAACTCTAAGACCACTGGGTCCCGAAGAAAATCATTATTATTTTTGGCTCACTCAGTACCAGAACAACGGTCCCAAGCAGTCCCAAGCTATTTCACTCACCCCTGCATGTTCTGCGTGAATCCACACACCCCTGATGTTATCTGTCAAACTTTCATTGCGAATCAAAACAAACATAGTGTAGTAATAGAATTTCAACTAGAATAGGGTACGTTAATCGTTTGCTTGGGACCAATAGGCTACTAAAGTGGTGAGCCAATTTAAAATCGTTAGTTTCGTATTGATTGTTGGTACTATCGTCGGTCCCAAGCTAATTGATGCACTCCTCGAAACATACACGGATAGAAATTTCCTTATACCTTTTGGCAAATTTCTATTGCTGATTATTCATAAAATGTATAAGTCAACTAATAAGCAGACGCCTTGCAAAAAGTTAATGAAGCTCATGTGTCAAATGAAATGTATAAGCGGTCACACATACCTTTTATGAATTCTTATCGGACCTATGTGGTTTGCCTTATGGAATGTATAAGGCTGATCTTTTGGCAAAAATGTATGAGTGAAACACATGAATAAAATAATTGATTTTCGTTTCGTGTAGGAAAATCCACGAACCCCTCATTTTATCTGTCAAACTTTCATAGCAAAACAAACATAGTGTAGTACTAGAATTTCGACTATAATGGGGCACGTTAATCGATTTGCTTGGGACCAATAGGCTAGTCAAGTAGTGAGCCAATTTAAAATCTTAAGTTTCCACCGGTTGCTACTACTGGATTGAACTAGCATTTTCACCAAATGTACTAGAATGTTTTGGTTCTATTTCTTTCACTCTACTCAAAACTGAAATGCCTAAAAAATTGATTCACTTTTTGCACAATGTCAAAGAATCATTGTACACAAAATCCACTTTGTGCAAAACCAAAACAAAAATACTATCTCATCTGGAGGATGATGACACAAGCTTCTAAGAAAATTCTATTACAACGAACCACATTATTTTAATTGTTTTCTTCGCCAGTTAGTCGTCTGTCACTTCGTTTGTGGTTAAACTGCTGTTACTCATAGATCTGTAACGGCAATTTTACTAAAACTGAGTAAAATTTCTGTGAGAGAGAATGAGATTGCTATAAAATTTTGCTCAGCCAGTGAGTAACATTGAACGGCCGTGTACATCGTGTAACGAAAACAAGTTCAACTTTAATGCTAGCAGCCGAAGGATTACCAACGGACACATAACTTTTGCGCGAAATTTTTCTGGACGTCCACGAAGAACTTGGAATCCCACGCATTGACGCCCTGGCAGACCTGGAATCACACCGTGCGTTCTTATCTAGTGAACGCACACAACGACTGCAGCACACACGGGAAGCCGCATATAAATTCTACAGCACCCAAAATTTTCCTCGACATTGACGCACACTTCGGAAGAAACCTCATCAAACGACAACACTCTTCGGACACTTTCAGAAGAAAATGGAAATGTAAGTGTAAATAATAATAATAATGAAAATATTTTATCAACCAACGTA